CAGGTGTGGGGCTGTGCAGGTGTGGGGCTGGCTGTGGGGCTGGGGCTGTGCAGGTGTGGGGCTGGGTGTGGGGCTGAGTATGGGAGTGGGGCTGTGGGGCTGGGTGTGGGGCTGGGAGTGGGTCAGGCCATGCCCAGGCTGTGGGTCTGGCCATGAGTCAGGTGTGGGTCACACCATGCCCAGGACGTGCCCAGGTCAGGCCGTGGGTCAGGTGTGGGTCTGGCCGTGTCCAGGCCAGGCCGTGCCAGTGCTGTGGGTCAGGTGTGGGTCCGGCCGTGGGTCCGGCTGTGGGTGCCGTGGGACAGGTGTGGGTCTGGCCATGGGTCACACCATGCCTGGGTCAGGCCGTGGGTCAGGCCGGTGCCGTGGGTCAGGTGTGGGTCTGGCTGTGGGTCAGGTGTGGGTCCGGCCGTGGGTTCCATGGGTCCGGCCGTGGGTCAGGTGTGGGTCCGGCCGTGGGTCCGGCCGTGGGTGCCGTGGGTCAGGTATGGGTCACGCCGTGCCGGTGCCATGGGTCAGGTGTGGGTCCGGCTGTGGGTTCCGTGGGTCAGGTGTGGGTCCGGCTGTGGGTCAGGTGTGGGTCTGGCCGTGCCAGTGCCGTGGGTCAGGTGTGGGTCCAGCCGTGGGTGCCGTGTCCCCGTTGGCTTTGGGGTCTCGTTCAGCGCCAGCTCCCCTTGACCCATCCCGGGAGTGACCTCTGACCCCTCACTGTCCCCATCCCGGGAGTGACCTCTGACCCCTCACTGTCCCCATCCCGGGAGTGACCTCTGACCCCTCACTGTCCCCATCCCGGGAGTGACCTCTGACCCCTCACTGTCCCCATCCTGGGAGTGACCTCTGACCCCTCACTGTCCCCTCATTGTCCCCACACTGGCAGTGACCCCCGTGTCCCTGTCCCCGTGGGTGGCACTGCCAGGCTGTCCCCCTGTCCCCTGTCCCTGTCCCCATGCTGGGGGTGTCCCTGTGTCCCTGTCCCTGTCCCCGTGGGTGGCACTGCAGGGTGTCCCCGTGTCCCTGTCCCTGTGCCGGGGGTGTCCCCATGTCCCTGTCCCCCTGTCCCTGTCCCCGCGGGTGGCAGTGCAGGGTGTCCCATGTCCCTGTCCCCGTGCCGGGGGTGTCCCCATGTCCCTGTCCCCACGGGTGGCAGTGCAGCCTGTGACACTCAGTGGCTTTATTGGGCCCCCCGGGCTGTGCCCCCCGCGGGTCCTGGAGCCCCCCGGCCCCTCCACGCCCCGAGGCCGTCCCCGTGTCCATTCTGTGTCCGTGTGTCCATCCAGTGTCCATCCTGTGTCCTTCCTGTGTCCTTCCTGTGTCCATCCTGTGTCCATCCCATGTCCCTGTGTCCATCCTGTGTCCATCCTGTGTCCGTGTGTCCTTCCTGTGTCCATCCTGTGTCCATCCTGTGTCCGTGTGTCCATCCTGCGTCCGTGTGTCCATCCTGTGTCCATCCTGTGTCCTTCCTGTGTCCATCCTGTGTCCATCCCGTGTCCGTGTGTCCTTCCTGTGTCCATTCTGTGTCCATCCCGTGTCCATCTGTGTGTCCATCCTGTGTCCGTGTGTCCATCCCGTGTCCATCCTGTGTCCATCCTGTGTCCGTGTGTCCATCCTGTGTCCCCATGTCCATCCTCTCTGTCCCTCAGTCCAGCACCGGCTCCGTCCGTGCCTTGGTGTCCCCAGGGTGTCCCCGGGGTGTCCCCGGGGTCAGTGGCAGTTCTGGCACTGGGGGTGTCCCCAGGGTGTCCCCAAGGTGTCCCCAGGGTGTCCCCGGGGTGTCCCCGGGGTCAGTGGCAGTTCTGGCACTGGGGGTGGCACCTCTGGCCGTTGACGTTGCAGCGACAGCCGCCACTGGTGTCCCCGGGGCCCTGTGGGGGACAGGGCGGAGGTCAGTGGAAGCCGCCCTGGGGTCACTCTGTGTCCCCTCATGGGGTCAGGGGTCAGCGGGAGCCACCCTGGGGTCACTCTGTGTCCCCTCATGGGGTCAGGGGTCAGTGAGAGCCACCCTGGGGTCACTCTGTGTCCCCCTGAAGGGGTCAGGGGTCAGCGGGAGCCACCCTGGGGTCACTCTGTGTCCCCCTGCAGGGCTCAGGGGTCAGCGGGAGCCGCCCTGAGGTCACTCTGTGTCCCCTCATGGGGTCAGGGGTCAGCGGGAGCCGCCCTGGGGTCACTCTGTGTCCCCTCATGGGGTCACCCTGTGTCCCCCGTCATCCTGGGGTCACTCTGTGTCCCCCTGTCACCTTTGGGTCTCCCTGTCACCCCGAGACCCCAGCAGAGCTCTTGGTGACCTCCCCTCCCCTCAGGACCCCCCGGGATCCCCCCGGACCCCCGCTCACCCCAAACCCCCTGGGACCCCTCAGGACCCCCCGGGACCCCCCCCGGGACCCCCCGGGACCCCAGACCCACCGCCGGCCCCCAGCGGGGTCCCTTGGTGACCCAGCAGATCCCCCCGGATCCCCCCGGATCCCCGCTCACCCCAAACCCCCCCGGACCCCCCCCGGGACCCCCCGGGACCCCCGACCCACCGCCGGCCCCCAGCGGGGTCCCTTGGTGACCCAGCAGATCTCGGTCTGGCACACGGTGCAGCGGATCCAGTCGCACCCGTCCTTCTTCTGCACCACGATGTGGCAGGTGGGGCAGTGCATGGCCTCGCCCCGCTGCACCAGCGTCTGGGGGCACGGGGGTCAGGGTGGGGACCCCGGGGAGTCCCGAGAGCCCCCGGACCCACAGCGGGACCCCCGAGCAGCACCTGCAGCGGGACCCCCGGGGAGCCCCGAGCAGCCCCCGCACCCGCAGAGGGACCCCCGGACCCGCAGCGGGACCCCCGGAGCCCCCGGACCCACAGCAGGACCCCCGAGCAGCACCCACAGCGGGACCCCCAGACTCCCCTGGACCCTGGACCCGCAGCGGGATCCCCGGAGCCCCCCGGACCCCCGCACCCGCACCGGGACCCCGGGAGCCCCCAGGATCCCCACACCTGCAGTGGGACCCCCGAACCTGCAGTGGGACCCCCGAGCAGCACCTGCAGTGGGACCCCCGGACCCGCAGCGGGACCCCCGGGGAGCCCCAAGAGCCCCTGCACCGGGACCCCCGGACCCGCAGCGGGACCCCCGGGGAGCCTTGAGAGCCCCCGCACCCGCAGCAGGACCCCTGAGCAGCACCCGCACCGGGACCCCCGGAGCCCCCCGGACCCGCAGCAGGACCCCCGGACCCACAGCGGGACCCCTGGACCCCCCGAGTAGCACCTGCAGCGGGACCCCCCAGACCCCCCGCACCTGCAGTGGGACCCCCGGACCTGCAGTGGGACCCCCGGACCTCCGAGCAGCACCCACAGTGGGATCCCCAGAGCCCCCGGACCCGCAGCGGGACCCCCAGACTCTCCCGGACCCCCCGGACCCACAGCAGGACCCCCGGACCCCCGGACCCGCAGCGGACCCCCGAGCAGCGCCTGCAGCGGGACCCCCGAACCCCCCGGACTCCCCCAGACCCGCACCGGGACCCCCGGAGCCCGCACCTGCAGCGGGACCCCCGGACTCCCCCTGACCCCCGCACCTGCAGCATGTCCCGCGTCTGGCGCGCGGCCGCGTCGTGCAGCGCCCGCAGCTGCAGCTCGTCCTGGTACTGCCGGCAGTTCTGACCCTCGTGGATGGCCTGGGGGGGCGGGGGGTCAGCGCGGGTCCCCGGGACCCCCCGGCCCGGGCGGGACCCCCGGGCGCGACCCCCGGCTCACCTTGCACAGGAGGCAGTTGAGCGCCCCGCACACCGGGCACGGGAACTCGTTCACCGCGTCCTCGTAGAAGCACCAGCCCGGACAGTCCCGGCCCCGGCAGTGGAAACTGTTCCGGCTGCGGCGCTCGGCCAGCGCCAGCCCCCGCGCCAGGAACCGCGCGTGCTCCTCGGGGGACAGCAGCTGTGACATGGGGACATTGTGGGGAGGGGGCGTTGGGACCCCCCGAGTGACCCCCACCCACCCCTGGGGACCCCCGCGCCAGGAACCGCGCGTGCTCCTCGGGGGACAGCAGCTGTGACATCGGGGACATCGGGGACATTGTTGGGGGGGGGCGTTGGGACCCCCCGAGTGACCGCCACCCACCCACGGACACCCCCGTGTCACCAGTCCCCGCGCCAGGAACCGCGCGTGCTCCTCGGGGGACAGCAGCTGTGACATGGGGACATTGTGGGGGGGGGCGTTGGGACCCCCCGAGTGACCCCCACCCACCCACGGGGACCCCCGTGTCACCAGGAACCACGCGTGCTCCTCGGGGGACAGCAGCTGGGGACATTGGGGACGTTGGGACCCCCCGAGTGACCGCCACCCACCCCTGGGGACCCCTGAATCACTACCCCCACACGAGGAGTGGCATGTCCACGTTGGGACCCCCGAGTCACTGTCACCCACCCCTGGGGACCCCCGAGTCACTACCCCCACACAAAGGGTGGCATGTCCACGTTGGGACCCCTGAGTGACCGCCACCCACCCACGGACACCCCCGTGTCACCAGCGCGGTCCCCTGGGAGCCCCCCACGGGTGTGGCTGTGACGCCCCCAGACCCCCAGTACCCCCCCGGACCCTCCTGGTCTCCCCTGGTACCCCCAGTACCCCTGGACCCCCCGGTCCCCCCCAGTCCCCCCCGGTACCCCCGGACCCTCCCGGACCCCCCAGACCCCCCCGGACCCCTGGTACCCCCAGACCCCCGGTATCCCCGGACCCCCAGACCCCCCAATACCCCCGGTACCCCCCCGGTACCCCCAGACCCCCGGACCCCCAGACCCCCCGGTATTCCCGGTACCCCCAGTCCCCCTCAGACCCCCAGTACCCCCAGACCCCCCCGGTACCCCCGGACCCCCCGTACCCCCTGTACCCCCGGTACCCCCAGACCCCCGAGACCCCTGTACCCCCAGACCCCCCGGTACCCCCAGACCCCTGGTACCCCCGGACCCCCGGTACCCCCAGATCCCCGGTACCCCAATAACCCCCAGTACCCCCCTGGTACCCCCCGGTACCCCCAGACCTCCGGACCCCCCAGACCCCCCAGACCCCCCAGACCCCTGAGACCCCTGTACCCCCAGACCCCCCGGTACCCCCAGACCCCTGGTACCCCCGGACCCCCGGTACCCCCAGATCCCCGGTACCCCAATAACCCCCAGTACCCCCCTGGTACCCCCCAGACCCCCCAGACCCCCCAGACCCCTGAGACCCCTGTACCCCCAGACCCCCCAGTACCCCAATACCCCCCGGTACCCCCCGATACCCCCGGACCCCCCGGTACCCCCGGTACCCCCCCGGACCCCCAGACCCTGTTCCCGGGCGCACCGCGCGGATCTCGCGCTCCTGCAGGTGGCTGCCGCAGGCGTAGGTGACATCGCGGAAGGGACAGGCCACCACCGGCTCCTCGCTGAACATGATCACCTGGCGCAGGCACTCCCTGGGACAGCGGGGTCACCGGGGTCAGGGGGGACACGGGGGGTCAGGGGGGTCACGGGGGTCATGGGGGATCACAGGGGTCACGGAGGTCACCAGGGACACGGGGGTCAGGGGGGGTCACGGGGGACACAGGGGTCACGGGGGTCAGGGGGTCATGGGGGACACAGGGGTCACGGGGGTCAGGGGGTCATGGGGGTCACGGGGGTCACGGGGGTCAGGGGGTCATGGGGGACACAGGGGTCACGGGGGTCAGGGGGTCATGGGGGACACAGGGGTCACGGGGGTCAGGGGGTCATGGGGGACACAGGGGTCACGGGGGTCAGGGGGGGTCACGGGGGACACAGGGGTCACGGGGGTCAGGGGGTCATGGGGGACACAGGGGTCACGGGGGTCAGGGGGTCATGGGGGTCACGGGGGTCACGGGCGTCAGGGGGTCACCGGGGTCACGGGGATCACGGGGGACACGGGGGTCAGGGGGGATACGGGGGTCACCGGGGTCATGGGGGTCACGGGGCGTCGGGGGGCTTGGGGTCACGGGGGTTACAGGGCTCAGGGGGGACACGGGGGTCATAGGGGTCATGGGGGTCACGGGGGTCACTGGGATGGTCACTGGGGTGGTCACTGGGTGGTCACTGGGTGGTCTGGGGGTGGTCACTGGGATGGTCACTGGGCGTGGGGTCAGCGATGTGGGGGGGCGTTGCAGGTCTATCCCAGCTGTCCCCAGGTGTGTCCCAGCTGTCCCCAGGTGTATCCCAGGTGTATCCCAGGTGTATCCCAGGTGTATCCCAGGTGTGTCCCAGGTGTATCCCAGGTGTGTCCCAGGTGTATCCAGGTGTGTCCCAGCTGTCCCCAGGTGAGTCCCATCTGTCCCCATCTGTCCCCATCTGTCCCCAGGTGTATCCCAGCTGTCCCCAGGTGTATCCCAGGTGTGTCCCATCTGTCCCCATCTGTCCCCAGGTGTATCTCAGGTGTGCCCAGGTGTATCCCAGGTGTATCCCAGCTGTCCCCAGGTGTATATCAGCTGTCCCCAGGTGTATCCAGGTGTGTCCCAGCCATCCCCAGGTGTCCCCAGGTGTTTCCCGGGTGTGTCCCAGCTGTCCCCACGTGTCCCCAGGTGTCCCTAGGTGTATCCAGGTGTGTCCCAGGTGTGTCCCAGCTGTCCCCACGTGTCCCCAGGTGTCCCTAGGTGTATCCAGGTGTGTCCCAGCTGTCCCCAGGTGTGTCCCCAGGTGTGGCAGAGCGGTACCCACCGGCAGAAGCTGTGCAGGCAGTCGCGCAGCAGCACGGCGCTCCCGGCCGGCACGCGCTGCAGGCAGATGCGGCACTCCAGCGGCTCCGGGTTCGGCACCAGCCCGGCCTGCTCCGCCCGCAGCAGCTGCTGGAAGTTCCGCTGCCGCTCCGCCTCCAGCGCCTGAAATGGGGAAAAAACGGGGAAAATGGGAAAAATGGGAGGGGCTGCTGCTGGGAGTTCCGCTGCCGCTCCGCCTCCAGCGCCTGGAATGGGGGAAAAACGGGGAAAATGGGAAAAACGGGGAAAATGGGCAAAACGGGGAAAATGGGAAAACCAGGGAAAATCCCTGTACTTGCTGGCACTGGTGGGCGCCGTCGCACTGATCCCATTGATCCCATTGATCCCATATCCCATAAATCCCTGATTCCACAGATCCCAAATCCCCGTACCTGCTGGCACTGATCCCATACATCCCATAGATCCCATTGATCCCATATCCCACAGATCACAAATCCCAGATTCCCATACCTCCTGGCACTGGCGGGCACCATCGCGCTGATCCCATTGATCCCATAAATCCCATAAATCCCTGATCCCATAGATCCCAGACTCCAGACCCCATACCTGCTGGCACTGATCCCACAGATCCCATTGATCCCATAAATCCCTGATCCTGTAAATCCCATATCTGACCCTGTACCTGCTGGCACTGGTAGGCGCTGTCGCTCTGATCCCATAGATCCCATTAATCCCATAAATCCCTGATCCCACAGATCCCAGATCCCTGTACCTGCTGGCACTGATCCCATAGATCCCATAAATCCCTGATCCCACAGACCCCGTACCTGCTGGCACTGATCCCATACATCCCATTGATCCCATAGATCCCATAAATCCCCAATCCCACAGATCCCAGATCCCGTACCTGCTGGCACTGATCCCACTGATCCCATACATCCCTGATCCCACAGATCCCAGACCCCGTACCTGCTGGCACTGATCCCATTGATCCCATAAGTCCCTGATCCCACAGATCCCAAATCCCAGACCCCGTACCTGCTGGCACTGATCCCATATATCCCATTGATCCCATAAATCCCATATCTGACCCCGTACCTGCTGGCACTGATCCCATACATCCCATTGATCCCATCAATCCCATATCCCACAGATCCCAAATCCCAGACCCCGTACCTGCTGGCACTAATCCCATACATCCCATTGATCCCATAAATCCCTGATCCCGTAAATCCCATATCTGACCCCGTACCTGTTGGCACTGATCCCATAGATCCCATAAATCCCATAAATCCCTGATCCTGTAAATCCCATATCTGACCCCATACCTGCTGGCACTGATCCCATAGATCCCATAGATCCCATAAATCCCCGATCCCACAGACCCAGTACCTGCTGGCACTGTTGGGCGCCGTCGCGCTCATCCCACTGATCCCATACATCCCTGATCCCATAAATCCCCGATCCCACAGACCCCGTACGTGCTGGCACTGGTGGGCGCTGTCGCTCTGATCCCATTGATCCCATTAATCCCATAGATCCCATTAATCCCATAAATCCCTGATCCCACAGATCCCAAATCCCAGATCCCATACCTGCTGGCACTGGTGGGCGCTGTCGCTCTGATCCCATTGATCCCATTGAACCCATTAATCCCATAGATCCCATAAATCCCTGATCCCACAGATCCCAAATCCCTGTACCTTATGGCACTGATCCCATTGATCCCATTAATACCATAGATCCCATTGATCCCATAAATCCCTGATCCCACAAATCCCAAATCCCAGATCCCGTACCTGCTGGCACTGATCCCACTGATCCCATACATCCCATTGATCCCATAAATCCCATATCTGACCCCATACCTGCTGGCACTGATCCCATAGATCCCATCCATCCCATTGATCCCATAAATCCCAGATCCCACAGACCCCGTACCTGCTGGCACTGGCGGGCGCCGTCGCGCTCATCCCGCTGATCCCATACATCCCATAGATCCCATAAATCCCTGATCACACAGATCCCAAATCCCTGTAACCTGCTGGCACTGATCCCATAGATCCCATAAATCCCCAATCCCACAGACCCCGTACCTGCTGGCACTGGTGGGCGCTGTCTCTCTGATCCCATTGATCCCATTAATTCCATAGATCCCATTAATCCCATAAATCCCTAATCTCACAGATCCCAGACCCCGTACCTGCTGGCACTGATCCCATAAATCCCTGATCCCCCAGATCCCAAATCCCAGACCCCGTACCTGCTGGCACTGATCCCACTGATCCCATACATCCCATTGATCCCATCAATCCCTGATCCCGTAAATCCCGTATCTGACCCCGTACCTGCTGGCACTGGTGGGCACTGTCGCTCTGATCCCATTGATCCCATTAATCCCATAGATCCCATTAATCCCATAAATCCCTAATCTCACAGATCCCAGATTCCATACCTGCTGGCACTGATCCCATACATCCCATTGATCCCATAAATCCCCGATCCCACAGACCCCGTACCTGCTGGCACTGGCGGGCGCTGTCGCTCTGATCCCATTGATCCCATTAATCCCATAGATCCCATTAATCCCATAGATCCCATTAATCCCATAAATCCCTGATCCCATAGATCCCAAATCCCTGTACCTGCTGGCACTGATCCCATAGATCCCATAAATCCCTGATCCCGTAAATCCCGTATCTGACCCCGTACCTGCTGGCACTGATCCCATACATCCCATTGATCCAATAAATCCCTGATCCCACAGATCCCAAATCCCAGACCCCGTACCTGCTGGCACTGTCGGGCGCCGTTGCGCTCATCCCACTGATCCCATACATCCCATAGATCCCATAAATCCCCGATCCCACAGACCCCGTACCTGCTGGCACTGATCCCATACATCCCACTGATCCCATACATCCCATCAATCCCATAAATCCCGTATCTGACCCCGTACCTGCTGGCACTGATCCCATACATCCCACTGATCCCATACATCCCATAGATCCCATAAATCCCGTATCTGACCCCGTACCTGCTGGCACTGATCCCATACATCCCACTGATCCCATACATCCCATCAATCCCATAAATCCCGTATCTGACCCCGTACGTGCTGGCACTGTCGGGCGCCGTCGCTCTGATCCCATTGATCCCATTGATCCCATATCCCATCAATCCCCGATCCCACAGACCCTGTACCTGCTGGCACTGATCCCATAGATCCCATACATCCCATCAATCCCATAAATCCCGTATCTGACCCCGTACCTGCTGGCACTGGTGGGCGCTGTTGCTCTGATCCCATTGATCCCATTAATCCCATAGATCCCATTAATCCCATAAATCCCTAATCCCACAGATCCCAGACCCCGTACCTGCTGGCACTGATCCCACTGATCCCATACATCCCATAGATCCCATAAATCCCATAAATCCTGTACCTGCTGGCACTGTCGGGCGCTGTCGTGCTCATCCCACTGATCCCATTGATCCCATAGATCCCATTGATCCCATATCCCATAGATCCCACAGATCCCGTACCTGCTGGCACTGTCGGGCGCCGTCGCGCTCGCGCTGCAGCCGCCGCAGCTCGGCGGGGTCGGGCCGGTGCCCCCCGGGCACGCGGTACCCCTCGGGGCGGGGGGCACTGCACATCTCACAGCCCGGGCGGGTGGGCTTGTTCAGGAACGTGCACCGGGGGCACGGCCAGCCCGCCTGCATGGGAACGGGATTGGGATTGGGATTGGGATTGGGATCAGGGATTGGGATTGGGAACAGGGATTGGGGCACATCTCACAGCCCGGGCGGGTGGGCTTGTTCAGGAACGTGCACCGGGGGCACGGCCAGCCCGCCTGCAACGGGAACGGGAACGGGATTGGGATTGGGATCAGGGAATGGGATCAGGGATTGGGATTGGGAACAGGGATTGGGGCACATCTCACAGCCCGGGCGGGTGGGCTTGTTCAGGAACGTGCACCGGGGGCACGGCCAGCCCGCCTGCAACGGGAACGGGATTGGGATTGGGATTGGGATCAGGGATTGGGATCAGGGATTGGGATGGGGTTGGGATTGGGATGGGATTGGGATGGGGTTGGGATTGGGGTCAGGGATTGGGGCACATCTCACAGCCCGGGCGGGTGGGCTTGTTCAGGAACGTGCACCGGGGGCACGGCCAGCCCGCCTGCAACGGGAACGGGATTGGGATTGGGATTGGGATTGGGATTGGGATTGGGAACAGGGCACATCTCACAGCCCGGGCGGGTGGGCTTGTTCAGGAACGTGCACCGGGGGCACGGCCAGCCCGCCTGCAACGGGAACGGGAACGGGATCAGAGATTGGGATGGGATTAAGTCTGGGACCAGGATTGGGATCGGGATTAGGATTGGGATTGAGATTAGGATTGGGATTAGGATTGAGATTGAGATTAGGATTGGGATTGAGATTAGGATTAGGATTGAGATTAGGATTAGGATTAGGATTGAGATTAGGATTAGGATTGAGATTAGGATTGAGATTAGGATTGGGATTAGGATTAGGATTGGGATTGAGATTAGGATTTGGATTGGTATTGAGATTGGGATTGAGATTAGGATTAGGATTAGGATTGGGATTGGGATTGAGATTGGGATTGAGATTGGGATTGCGATTAGGATTGGGATTGGGATTGGGATTAGGATTGGGATTGGGATTAGGATTAGGATTGGGATTGAGATTGGGATTAGGATTAGGATTGGGATTGGGATTGGGAATGAGATTAGGATTGGGATTGGGATTGAGATTAGGATTGGGATTGGGATTGAGATTGGGGTATATCTCGCAGCCCAGAGGCTGGCAGGCCTCAGGGACAGTGGGATTGGGATCACGAATTGAGATCAGAGATTAGGATCAGGGATTAGAATCGGGATCAGGTGAGGGCAGGCGGGGCAGTGGGATTGGGATCAGGATCAGGGATTAGGATCAGGGATCGGGATCAGGGATGAGGATCAGGATCAGGGATCCGGATCAGGGATCGGGATCAGGAATGGGGACCAGGCCCCCCCCAGCCCGTACCTGCTCAGGTGAGGGCGGGCGGGGCTCAGGGCCGGTGGGATTGGGATCAGGATCAGGGATTAGGATCAGGGACTGGGAGCAGGAATTGGGATCAGGATCAGGGATTAGGATCAGGGATTGGGATCAGGGATCAGGGATTAGGATCAGGGATCAGGATCAGGACCAGGACCCCCCCAGCCCGTACCTGCTCAGGTGAGGGTGGGCGGGGCTCAGGGGCAGTGGGATTGGGATCAGGATCAGGGATTAGGATCAGGATCAGGACCCCCCAGCCCGTACCTGCTCAGGTGAGGGCGGGCGGGGCTCAGGGGCGGTGGGATTGGGATCAGGATCAGGATCAGGAATTGGGATCAGGGATCAGGATCAGGGATGGGGATCAGGGATCAGGATCAGGGATTAGGATCAGGGATTAGGATCAGGGATTAGGATCAGGACCAGGACCCCCCAGCTCAGGTGACCCTCACCTGCTCAGGTGAGGGCGGGCGGGGCTCAGGGCCGGCGGGCAGGGCCCCGGCGCTGTCCCAGAGCTGCAGCGAGTCCAGGCGCTCCTGGATGTCCCCGATGTCCATCCGCTCCGGGGGCTCCTCGGGGACACGGCCTGCGCACAGCCGGACACGGCGCGGGCTGGCACCGGGCACCGACACCGGGCACCGACACCGGGCACAAACACTGGCACCGGGCACCAACACCGGCACCGGGCACCGACACCGGCACCGGGCACTGGAGAGGGACGGGGCAGCAGGGAAAGGGACGGGAGGGGAAAAGGAGGAGGAAGGAGGAGGAGGATGAAGGAGCAGCAGGAGGAAGGTGAGGAAATAACAGCATGATGAAAAACAGGAACAGTGCGAGGATGAGGAGGAAGGAGCGGGATGAGGAAGGAACAGAGACAGGAAGAACAACCACCAGAACGAGGATGATGAAGAAGGAACAGAAGCAGAATGAGGTGAGGAGGAAGGAGCAGGATGAGGATGTGAGGAAGGATGAGGATGATGATGAAGGCTTTGACAGCCATACCTGAGCCAGGTGAGGAAAGAGCAGGAGCAGAATAAGGAAGAAGCAGGAGTAGGAGCAGGAAGAAAAAGGAACAGAAGCAGCAGTAGTAGGGGTGAGGATGATGAAGGAAGAGCAAGAGCAAGATAAGGATGAGGAAGGAAAAGAAGCAGCAGCAGGCTGAGGATGATGAGGAGGAAGGAGCAGGATGAGGAGGATGATGAGAAAGGGGCAGGCTGAGGATGATGAGGAAGGAGCAGGAGCAGGAGCAGCAGGCTGAGGATGGTGATGAGGAATGGGCAGGATGAGGAGGAGGATGAGGAACGAGCAAGATAAGGATGATGATGAAGGAGCAGGCTGAGGATGAGGAGGAAGGAGCAGGCTGAGGATGAGGAGGAAGGAGCAGGCTGAGGACGGTGATGAGGAAGGAGCAGGATGAGGAGGATGAGGAAGGGGAAGGCTGAGGATGGTGATGAGGAAGGAACAGGCTGAGGATGATGAGGAAGAAGGAGTAGGATGAGGATGATGAGGAAGAAGGAGCAGGCTGAGGACGGTGATGAGGAAGGAGAAGGATGAGGACAGTGATGAGGAAGGAACAGGCTGAGGATGATGAGGAAGAAGGAGCAGGCTGAGGATGGTGATGAGGAAGGCACAGGATGAGGATGGTGATGAGGAAGGAGCAGTCTGAGGAGGATGAGGAAGGAGCAGGATGAGGATGATGAGGAAGAAGGAGCAGGCTGAGGACAGTGATGAGGAAGACACAGGATGAGGATGGTGAGGAAGGGGCAGGCTGAGGACGGTGATGAGGAAGGAGCAGGATGAGGAGGATGAGGAAGGAGCAGGCTGAGGATGATGAGGAAGGAGCAGGCTGAGGATGAGGATGAAGATGAGGATGAGGAGGGGGCAGGCTGAGGCTGCTGAGGAAGGCTCCGAGGCCGTACCTGCGCCAGGTGAGCCGTCCCCGTCCCCGTGCAGCCCCGCAGCGCGCAGCAGCTGCAGCGCCTGCCGCTGCCGCTCCGCTCCCGGTGCTGGTGCCGCTCCCGGTGCCACTCCCGGTGTCACTCCCGTTCCCGGTGCCGTTCCCGGTGCCGGTGTCACTCCTGGTGCCATTCCCGGTGCCGCTCCCGGTGCCGTTCCCGGTGTCACTCCCGGTGCCGTTCCCAGTGCCGTTCCCGGCGGCGGCCGTGCCGAGAGCAGGAAGAGGAAGGCCGGGTCCCCGTCGCGGCGGATGCCGTAGGAGCCCAGGCTGCGCCCGTCCCGGCACAGGCTCTGCCCGATGATCCAGCGCTGCGCCGCCGGCGGGAAACCGTACTCCCGGAACACCTGCGGGGCACACGGGATCCCATGGGATCGGGGGGATCAGGGGGATCCTATGGGATCAGGGGGATCAGGGGGATCACACAGGATCGGGGGGAAAGCCGTACTCCCGGAACACCTGCGGGGCACACAGGATTGGGGGATCCCATGGGATCAGGGGGATCAGGGGGAAAGCCGTATTCCTGGACCTGGGGGGATCACATGGGATCAGGGGGATCCCATGGGATCAGGGGGATCCCATGGGTTTAGGGGGATCTGGGGATCCCATGGGATCAGGGGGATCCTATGGGATCAGGGGGGTCAGGGGCATCCAATGGGATCAGGGGAAAGCCGTACTCCCGGAACACCTGTGGGATTGGGGGGCACACGGGATCAGGGGGATCAGGGGGATCCCATGGGATCAGGGGGGTCAGGGGGATCCCATGGGATCAGGGCAAAGCCGTACTCCCGGAACACCTGCGGGGCACATGGGATCAGGGGATCCCATGGGATTGGGGGGATCCTATGGGATCAGGGGGGTCAGGGGCATCCCATGGGATCAGGGGGATCACACGGGATCAGGGGGGATCAGGGGGGGTCACACGGGATTGGGGGGTCAGGGGGATCCCATGGGATCGGGGGAAAGCCGTACTCCCGGAACATCTGCGGGATCGGGGGGATCCCATGGGATCAGGGGGATCAGGGGGATCCCATGGGATCGGGGGGATCAGGGGAAAGCCGTACTCCCGGAACACCTGCGGGGATCACGGCAGATCAGAGGGATCCCATGGGATCAGGGGGACCACATAGGGGATCAGGGGAGATACTGGGGAGATCCCAGCTGACCCCATTCCCTCCAGGTAAGCCCAGATGACCCTGCAAGACCCCTGGTGACCCCCAGTGACCCTCAGTGTCCCCTGGTGTCCCCGGTGTCCCCAGCTGTCCCCCGGTGTCCCCGGTGTCCCCGGTGTCCGTACCTGCTCCTTGAGGGTGCCGATGGTGATGTGGGGCTGCACCCGCAGCGTGATGCTGGCCGAGGACGTGGCGTCCTCCACCCCCACCGGCATGCTGGGGGGAGAGAAGGGGATTGGGATTGGGGTTTGGGGTTTGGGATTGGGGTGTGGGATTGGGGTTTGGGGTACGGCATGCTGGGGGGAGAGAGAACGGGATTGGGGTTGGGATTGGGGTTTGGGATCAGGATTGGGGTACGGCATGCTGCGGGGGAGAGAGAACGGGATTGGGGTTGGGATTGGGGTTTGGGATTGGGGTGTGGGGTTTGGGATTGGGATTGGGGTATAGGGTGTGGGGTACGGCATGCTGGGGGGAGAGAGAACGGGATCGGGGTTGGGATTGGGGTGTGGGATTGGGATTGGGGTGTGGGGTTTGCAACTGGGGTATGGGGTGTGGGGTACGGCATGCTGGGATGGGAGAGAGAATGGGATCGGGGCTGGGATTGGGGTTTGGGATTGGGATTGGGGTTTGGGATTAGGGTATGGGGTTTGGGATTGGGGTATGGGGTATGGGGTGTGGTGCACGGCATGCTGGGAATGGGAGAGAGAACGGGATCGGAATCGGGATCAGGATTGCGATTGGGGTTGGGGATCGGGGTGTGGGGTATGGCATGCTGGGACAGGAGATAATGGGATTGGGATTGGGATTGGGGTTTGGGATCGGGGTTGGGGTTTGGGATTGGGATCGGGGTTGGGATTGGAATTGGAATTGGGATTTGGATTGGGATCGGGGTTGGGGTTTGGGCTGTGGGATTAGGGTGTGGGGTACGGGATATGGAGTATGGGATATGGAATACGGGATATGGGATATGACACTTGAAAATGAGGATGATGACAACAATGAGGAAAGCAAAGAGTGGGGATGAGGATGACGAGGATGAGGAAGGCACGGGCAGAGGATGAAGATGAGGATGAGGACGATGAGCATGAGGAAGGCAGAGGCAGAGAATGAAGACGAGAATGAGGATGATGAAGATGAGGAAGGCAGGGGCAGAGAATGAAGAGAATGTGGATGATGAGGACGAGCAGAAAGGCAGAGGATGGGGATGAGGATGATGAGGATGAGGAAGGCAGGGGCCGATGATGAAGATGAGGATGAGGATGATGAGGATGAGGAAGGCAGGGGCAGAGAATGAAGAGAATGTGGATGAGGATGAGCAGAAAGGCAGAGGATGAGGATAAGGACGATGAGGATGAGGAAGGCAGGGGCCGAGGATGAAGACGAGGGTGTGGATGATGAGGATGATGAGGAAGGCAGAGTATGAAGATGAGGATGAGGACAATGAGGATGAGGAAGGCAGGGGCCGAGGATGAAGACGAGGATGTGGATGATGAGGATGAGCAGAAAGACAGAGGATGGGGATGAGGATGATGAGGATGAGGAAGGCAGGGGCCGAGGATGAAGACGAGGGTGTGGATGATGAGGATGATGAGGAAGGCAGAGTATGAAGATGAGGATGGTGACAGTGATGATGAGGAAGGCAGAGGTTGGGGATGAGCAAGATGATGATGATGGTGATGATGAGGAAGGCAGAGATTGGGGATGAGTAAGGCAACGGTGACGATGACGATGATGAGGAAGGCAGAGGCAGAGGATGAAGATGATGATATGGATGACGAGGATGAGGATGATGAGGAAGGCAGAGAATGGGGATGAGGATGATGAGGATGATGATGAGGAAGGCAGAGGATTGGGATGATGATGATGAGGAAGGCAGAAGTTGGGGATGAGTAAGGCAACAGTGACGATGATGATGATGAGGAAGGCAGAGGTTGGGGAACAAGCAGAACAATGGTGACAATGGTGACGATGACGAGGATGACGATGATGAGGAAGGCAGGATCCCCACCTGATGTCGGCCCGGTCCCGCTCCCTCTCCCGCAGGCGCACGCTCAGCTCCGCGTGCCGCCGGGCCAGTGCCACCGCGCTGCGGGCGGCCACCGCCTCGTCCCCGAGGGCCACCGCCTCGGCCAGCTGCAGGGCCAGCTCCTCTGGGGACAGGGGACACATGGGGACACGGGGATGGCACCCAGAGCGGGCATGGGGACACACGGGGACACACAGGGACACAGAGATGGCACCCAGAGACACCCAGAGCAGGAATGGGGACACCAAGGGGACACCCAGGGGACACCCAGGGACATGGGGGTGACACCCACAGCCCCTCAGAGTGGGAATGGGGACACCCAGGGGACACCCAGGGACATGGGGGTGGCACCCAGAGACACCCAGGATGGGAATGGGGACACCCAGGGGATACCAGGCGTGGCACCCCCCATCCCCAAGGCAGGACTGTCCCAGCCCAGCGACACCGTGGGGACACCGTGGGGACACCGTGGGGACACTGTGGGGACACCGTGGGGACAGGAGGTGACCCCAGGGCAGGTCCCAGGGGGATTTCAGGGAATGTCCCCCCCATCACTGCGCAGGTGGCACTCGGGGACAGGTCAGGGTGGCCCTGGCCAGTGCCACCCCCGGGGTTCCGGGGTCACCTGTCTGGGCCAGCTCCAGGACCTGCTGCTCCTCCGTGTCCAGCTCGGGGCCCTCGGCGGGTGGCACTGGAGATGTCCCCACGGGTGGCACCAGAGATGTCCCCACGGGTGGCACCGGAGATGTCCCCGCGGGTGGCACTGGAGACGTCCCCGTGTCACCCTCGGCGGCTGCGGGAGCACGGTGGGGACGGGGCTGTCACTGCTGTCCCCCCCCAGGACAGCCAGCCCCGCCAGGGGACATGACCTCTGACCCTTGGGGGTCACCCCCAGTGTCCAGCTCTGCCTGGCACGTGGGGCTGGGATGTCACCCTCTGCAGTGTCCCTGTCCCCAGCCCCGTGTCCCCAACATCCCCAATGTCCCCAATGTCCCCAATGATGTCCCCAGTGTCCCCAATGTCCCCAATGTCCCCAATGTCCCCAATGTCCCCAATGTCCCCAAACCCCCAATGTCCCCAACATCCCCAGTGTCCCCAATGTCCCCCCAATGTCCCCAATGTCCCCAACATCCCCAATGTCCCCCATGTCCCCAATCCCCCCAATGTCCCCAATGTCCCCAACATCCCCAATGTCCCCAATGTCCCCAATGTCCCCAATGCCCCCAATGTCCCCAGTGTCCCCCCAATGTCCCCAATGTCCCCAATGTCCCCAATGTCCCCTCAGTGTCCCCAATGTCCCCTCAGTGTCCCCAATGTCCCCAATGTCCCCCAATGTCCCCAATGTCCCCAATGTCCCCCAATGTCCCCAATCCCCCAATGTCCCCAATGTCCCCCAATGTCCCCAATGTCCCCAATGTCCCCAATGTCCCCCAATGTCCCCCAATGTCCCCAATCCCCCCAATGTCCCCAATGTCCCCTCAGTGTCCCCAATGTCCCCTCAGTGTCCCCAATGTCCCCAATGTCCCCCAATGTCCCCAATGTCCCCAATGTCCCCCAATGTCCCCAATCCCCCCAATGTCCCCAATGTCCCCCAATCCCCCCAATGTCCCCAATGTCCCCAATGTCCCCGATGTCCCCAATGTCCCCAATGTCCCCAATGTCCCCAATGTCCCCAATGTCCCCAATGCCCCCAATGTCCCCAATGTCCCCAATGTCCCCAATGTCCCCAATCCCCCCAATGTCCCCAATGTCCCCCAATCCCCCCAATGTCCCCAATGTCCCCAATGTCCCCGATGTCCCCAATGTCCCCAATGTCCCCAATGTCCCCAATGTCCCCGATGTCCCCGATGTCCCCGATGTCCCCGATGTCCCCAATGTCCCCAATGTCCCCCAATGTCCCCGATGTCCCCGATGTCCCCCAATGTCCCCAATGTCCCCCAATGTCCCCAATGTCCCCAATGTCCCCGATGTCCCCGATGTCCCCAATGTCCCCAATCCCCCCAATGTCCCCAGTGTCCCCAATGTCCCCAATGTCCCAATGTCCCCAATGTCCCCAATGTCCCCAAATGTCCCCAAATGTCCCCAATGTCCCCAATGTCCCCACTGTCCCCAATGCCCTCAATGCCCTCAATGCCCCCAATGCCCCCAACCCTCCAAATGTCCCCAATGTCCCCAATGTCCCCAATGTCCCCCAATGTCCCCAATGTCCCCAATCCCCCCAATGTCCCCAACATCCCCAATGTCCCCAATCCCCTCAATGTCCCCAGTGTCCCCAATGTCCCCCAATGTCCCCAATGTCCCCAATGTCCCCAGTGTCCCCCAATGTCCCCAATGTCCCCAGTGTCCCCCAATGACCCCAATGTCCCCAATGTCCCCAACGTCCCCAATGTCCCCAATGTCCCGTCAGTGTCCCCAATGTCCCCAGTGTCCCCAATGTCCCCAATGTCCCCAATCCCCCCAATGTCCCCACTGTCCCCAATGTCCCCAATGTCCCCACTGTCCCCAATGTCCCCATGTCCCCATGTCCCCATGTCCCCATGTCCCCATGTCCCCATGTCCCACCTCTCCGTGCCTCTCTGAGGGAGCTGCTCAGCACTGTCCACCACTGTTGGGCCTCGCGCTCCTCGGGGAAGCGCAGTGCCACCGCCTCTGTCCCCTCTGTCCCCTCTGTGTCCCCCGCTGTCCCCTCTGTGTCCCTCTCTGTCCCCGCTGTCCCCGGCAGCTGCAGCTGGTGGCTGGCGGGGCCACAGACACGGTAGGACACGTCCCGCAGGTCACACTCGGCCAGGGGCTGGGGACACGGGGACAGCGGGGTCACACGGGGTCACAGGGGACACGGGGAGAGTGGGGACACTGGGGACACGGGGACAACGGGGTCACACGGGGTCACAGGGGACACAGGGACATGGGGACAGCGGGGTCACACGGGGTCACAGGGGACAGCGGGGTCACACAGGGTCACAGGGGACACGGGGACAGCGGGGTCACATGGGGTCACAGGGGACACAGGGACAACGGGGACAGCGGGGTCACACGGGGTCACAGGGGACACGGGGACATCAGGGGACATCAGGGGACAGCGGGGTCACACGGGGTCACAGGGGACACGGGGACAGCGGGGTCACACGGGGTCACAGGGGACACGGGGACAGCGGGGTCACACGGGGTCACACGGGGTCACACGGGGTCACAGGGACAACGGGGACAGCGGGGGACACAGGGGACATGGGGACAGCGGGGTCACACGGGGTCACAGGGGACACGGGGACAGCAGGGGACATGGGGACAGCGGGGACAGTGAGGGGACAGCGGGGTCACACGGGGTCACAGGGGGACATGGGGACAGCGGGGGACACGGGGACAGCGGGGACACATGGGGACATCAGGGGACAGCGGGGACAGCAGGGGACATGGGGACAGCGGGGACAGTGAGGGGACAGCGGGGTCACACGGGGTCATAGGGGACACGGGGACAGCGGGGGACATCAGGGGACATCAGGGGACTCAGGGGTCACTCTTGGGTCACCTTTGGGGTGCCCTGGTCACCCTTGGGTCACCTTTGGGGTGCCCTGGTCACCTTTGGGACACCTTTGGGGTGCCCTGGTCACTTTTGGGGTGCCCTGGTCACCCTTGGGACACCTTTGGGGTGCCCTGGTCACCCTTGGGACACCTTTGGGGTACCCTGGTCACTTTTGGGGTGCCCTGGTCAGTTTTGGGGTGCCCCGAGCCTCTCCCACCCCCGGGCGGGGGTGACACGGGACGATCCCGGGGGTCCCGCCCCTCCCAAACCTCCCGGGACAGCCCCGGACCCCCGGGACCCTCCTGTGGGGACACTCCCGGGACATTCCCGGTACAATCCCGGGACACTCCCGGGCTCTCGGGACGCGCCCCCCGCCCCCACCTCCCCCCATTTCCCCTCCCCTCACCGCCCCCTCCCCTCCCCTCCCCTCCCTCCCCTCCCCTCCCCTCCCCTCACCGCGCCGCCCCCCGCCTCCGCCGCCCGCAGCGCCAGGCGGAAGCGGCGCCGCCCGTCGTTCCCCGGTTGCACGCTGAGCTGCAGGCGGAGCGCGGCGCCGGCGTTGGCGGGCAGGAGGCGGCAGGGCGCGGCCAGCTCGGCGCGGGCCGCCATCAGCACCGTGGGGGCGGCGGCCGGGCCCGGCCCGGGGGCTCCGGGCGCCGCCATGGCGGCCCCGCCACTTCCGGCCTCCCGCCCGCGCGGTCCGCCCGCCAACCGGGTCCTTTCCGGTGCAGCGCCGGGAAACGCGGCCGCGCGCGCGGGAGTTCCGGGGGAGGGGCGTTCCGCCTCGGCCACGCCCCCCGCCCGCCGTGATTGACAGGCGCTCCCCCCGTCTTTGTCCGCGCCGGCCAATGGGAGCGCCGAGCGCCCCCGCGGTGGGCGGGGCCGCGGGCTCTGCGCGGACTGACGTTGGTGTCGGCCAATGAAAGGCGAGCGCAGCTGTGATTGACGGGTATTCTAGCCAGTAGGATCGCGGGCCGCGGGCGCCGCTCGGGCGGGGCGGGCGGGGCGGTGCCGCCGCTGCCGCTGTTGCCGTCCGGTGCCGCAGGAGAAGGTCGCCCGCTCGCCCGCTCGCTCCGGGGGATTCCCAGGATCTCGCTCGGCCGCTCGCGCCGTCTCCCGAGCACTCGGGGACATGTCGAGGTGGGCGGAGGCCCGGTGGGCCGGCGCCAGACGGCGGACGGCGGCCGCGGCGCACTCGCCCTCCTCGAGCTTTCCCCGGAGACGCCTCCCTTTACAAGCGCCCCGAGCCTGAAGGCGCTGCCACGGCGAGGAGGCACCGATAAGGGAGCAGGACGCGCCGGTAAGCCCGCTCGGCCCGCCGCCCCTCTTCTGCGCGCCCTGAAGCCGCGCGGACTACAGCTCCCGGCGTACCCCGCGCCGCCCAGGCGCGGCCTAGCGCCGCGCGCAGCCGCGGGGCAGGATGGGAGCAGTAGTCCAGCGGTGGCGAGGCTGGGCCGCCCGCGCGGGGCATGGCGGGAGCTGTAGTCCGCCGTTGCATCGCCGCTATGCGCCGCGCGGGGCATGTTGGGAGCTGTAGTCCGCCGATGCATCGCTGCTGTGCGCCGCGCGGGGCATGTCGGGAGCTGTAGTCCGGAGCGCGGGGCACGCCGGGAAGGCGCTTCCTGTGGCGGGGGAGATTTTTCCGCGTCTTTTTCTTTTTCCTCTTTTTTCTTTTCCTTTTTCCGTCTTTTTTCCCCTCATTTCTTTCCTCCTCCCTCTCTGCGCCTCCCTCTCCGCCTGTCACCTTTTCCCCCTTCGCGGTGCCGCTGCCAGCTCCACCTGAAGCTGTTCTTCCTCCTTCAGTTCCTGTTCCTGCTCTTTTTATTTCGCTTTCCTTTTATTTTTCTTTCCCGTTTCCATCCCCATTTCTGCATTTTCCTATTTTCCCTTTCATTTTTCTGTTTCTTGTCCTGCTTTTTTTTCCCGTTTTTCACTCCCATTTCTGTATTTCCCTTTTCCATTTCCCCCCCTGCACTTTTCCTCTTTTTCCATTTTCCATTCTCGTTTTTTGACTTTCTCTCTTTCCCCTTTCCCGTTTCCATCCCCATTTCTGCATTTTCCTATTTTCCTTTTCATTTTTCCCTTTCTTGTTTTGCCCTTTTTCTCTTTTCCGGTTTTTCACTCCCATTTCTGTATTTCCATTCCCTCCCCTGGACTTTTCCTCTTTTTCCATTTTCCATTCCTGTTTTTTGACTTTCTCTGTTTTCCCCTTTCCCGTTTCTATTCCCATTTCTGCATTTTCCTGTTTTCCCTTTCATTTTTCCGTTTCTTGTTCTGCCCTTTTTTCCCGTTTTTCATTCCCATTTCTGTATTTCCCTTTTCTATTTCCCCTCTCCTGGACTTTTTCTCTTTTTCCATTTCCATTCCCGTTTTTTGACTTTCTCTGTTTTCCCCTTTCCCGTTTCCATCCCTGTTTCTGCATTTTCCTGTTTTCCCTTTCATTTTTCCGTTTCATGTTCTGCCGTTTTTTCCCGTTTTTCACTCCCATTTCTGTATTTCCGTTTTTCCCCACTGCACTTTTCCTCTTTTTCCATTTTCCATTCCCGTTTTTGGACTTTCTCTGTTTTCCCCTTTCCCCTTTTCATCCCCATTTCTGCATTTTCCTATTTTCCCTTTCATTTTTCCGTTTCTTGTTCTGCCCTTTTTCTCTTTTCCCGTTTTTCACTCCTATTTCTGTATTTCCGTTTTTCCCGCCTGCACTTTTCCTCTTTTTTTCCATTTTCCATTCCTGTTTTTGGACTTTCTCTCGTTTCCCCTTTCCCTTTTTCATCCCCATTTCTGCATTTTCCCTCTTTTCCCATTCCCATTCCTGCATTTTCCCCTCCCCCTCCCTCCCCGTTTCCCGGGGGCTTTGGGAAATTTCCCCTTCCCCGTTGGCAGCTGCGGCGCCGGGAGGGAATTCCGGGAATCCCGGCGGGAATTGTTCCGGGAATTCCCCGGGAATCGTTCCGGAACCGCGGCGGGGGAGGATGAAGCTGCTGGAGAACTCCAGCTTCGAGGCCATCAACTCCCAGCTGACCGTGGAGACCGGCGACGCGCACATCATCGGCAGGTCGGCGGGAAACCTGGGAATTCTGTCCCTGGGAATCTGGGAATGCTGGACTGAGAAACCTGGGAATGAGGGACCGGGAATCTGGGAATGAGATACTGGGAAAAGCTCTGGGAATCTGGGAATGAGGGACTGGGAAAAGCTCTGGGAAACTGGGAATGAGGGACCGGGAAACGTCCCGGGAATGAGGGACCGGGAATCTGGGAATCAGGGACTGGGAATCTGGGAATGAGGGACCGGGAATCTGGGAATGAGGGACCGGGAATCTGGGAATGAGGGACTGGGAAAAGCTCCGGGAATCTGGGAATGAGGGACTGGGAAAAGCTCCGGGAATCTGGGAATTCTGTCCCCAGGAAGCTGGGAATGAGGGACTGGGAAACCTGGGAATGAGGGACCGGGAATCTGGGAATGCTGGACCGGGAAAAGCTCTGGGAAACTGGGAATGAGGGACCGAGAATGTGGGAATGAGGGACCAGGAATCTGGAAATGAGGGACTGGGAAAAGCTCTGGGAATCTGGGAATGAGGGACCAGGAAAAGCTCCGGGAATCTGGGAATGAGGGACTGGGAAACCTGGGAATGAGGGACCGGGAATCTGGGAATGAGGGACCGGGAAAAGCTCCGGAAATCTGGGAATGAGAGACTGGGAAAAGCTCCGGGAAACTGGGAATGAGGGACCGGGAATCTGGGAATGAGGGACCAGGAATGTGGGAAGGAGGGACCAGAAATCCGGGAATGCTGGACTGAGAAACCTGGGAATGCTGGACTGGGAAATGCCCCGGGAATCTGGGAATGAGGGACTGGGAAACGCCCCGGGAATCTGGGAATGCTGGACCGGGAAACTGGGAATGAGGGACCAGGAAACCTGGGAATTCTGTCCCTGGGAAGTTGGGAATGATGGAGCGGGAATCTGGGAATGTTGGACTGGAAAGTTGGGAATGAGGGACTGGAAAGTTTGGAATGAGGGGCCGGGAAAAGCTCTGAGAAGCCAGAAATGCTGAACTGGGAAAAGCTCCGGAAATCTGGGAATTCTGTCCCCGGGAAGTTGGGAATGAGGGACACAGAAACCTGGGAATGCTGGACCGGGAAAAGCTCCGGGAAACTGGGAATGAGGGACCGGGAAACACCCGGGGAATCTGGGATTGAGGGACTGGGAAAAGCTCCGGGAATTTGGGAATGCTGCCCACAGGAAAGGCTCTGGGAACTGGGAATGCCACCCCGGGAAAAGCCCCGGGAAACCGAGAATACTGAACTGGGAAAAGCTCCCAAAATCTGGGAATTCTGTCCCCGGGAAGCTGGGAATGATGGACTGGGAATCTGGGAATGCTGCCCTGGGAAAAGCCATGGGAATCTGGGAATGATGGACCGGGAAAAGCTCCGTGAAGCTGGGAATGAGGGGCCGGGAAACCTGGGAATGAGGGACCGGGAAACGCTCCGGAAATCTGGGAATTCTGTCCCCCAGAGTCTGGGAATGATGGACTAGGAATCTGGGAATGCCGCCTTGGGAAAGGCTCTGGGAATCTGGGAATGGGGAACTGGGAAACCTGGGAATGATGAACTGGGAAAAGCTCTGGGAATCTGGGAAATGATGGACCGGGAATCTGGGAATGAGCGACTGGAAAACCTGGGAAGGAGGGACTGGGAAGTTGGGAATGCTGCCCTGGGAATCTGGGAATTCTGCCCCATGAAACCCGGAATCTGGGAACGCTGCTCTGGGAATGGACATGGGTCTCTGGGATCCCCTGGATCCCCCTGGAAGGGCTCTGGGATCTCTGGGATCCCCTGGGGCTCTCTGGGATCCTCTGGGGGGGCTCTGGGATCCCCTGGAAGGGCTCTGGGATCCCCCGGGTGTCTGTGGGATCCCCCGGGTGTCTCTGGGATCTCTGGGGACCCCATCCCCGCCTCCCAGGCTATGTGGGATCTCTGGGATCTTTGGGATCTCTGGGTGTCTGTGGGCTCTCTGGGATCCCTGGGGATCCCATCCCCACCTGCTGGGCTGTGTGGGATCCCTGGGATCCCTGGGATCTGTGGGATCTTTGGGATCTCTGGGATCTCTGGGGATCTCTGGGTGTCTATGGGATCTCTGTGTGTCTCTGGGGATCTCTGGGTGTCCCTGGGGATCTCTGGGACCCCATCCCCACCCGCTGCCTGTGTGGGATCTCTGGGGATCTCTGGGATATCTGGGTGTCTCTGGGCTCTCTGGGTGTCTGTGGGATCCCTGGGGATCTCTGGGATATCTGGAGCTCTCTGGGATCCCTGGGGATCTCTGGGATCCCATCCCCACCTCCTGGGCTGTGTGGGATCTCTGGGTGTCTCTGGGGCTCTCTGGGATCCCATCCCCACTTGACAGGCTCTCTGGGATATCTGGAGCTCTCTGGGATCCCTGGGGATCTCTGGGGACCCCATCCCCACCTGCTGCCTGTGTGGGATCCCTGGGTGTCTGTGGGATCTCTGGGTGTCTCTGGGATCCCTGGGGATCTCTGGATGTCCCTGGGGATCTCTGGGGATCTTTGGGATCTCTGGGACCCCATCCCCACCCGCTGCCTGTGTGGGATCTCTGGGGCTCTCTGGGGATCTCTGGGTGTCTCTGGGATCTCTGGGCTCTGTGGGGATCCCTGGGATCTCTGGGACCCCATCCCTGCCTGCCGGGCTGTGTGGGATCTCTGTGTGTCTCTGGGCTCCCTGGGATCCCTGGGATCTCTGGGACCCCATCCCCACCTCGTGGGCTGTGTGATCCCTGGGGATCTCTGGGGATCTCTGGGATCTTTGGGATCCCATCCCCACCCGCCGGGCTGTGTGGGATCTCTGGGTGTCTCTGGGGCTCTCTGGGATCTCTGGGGCTCTCTGGGCTCTCTGGGATCTCTGGGATCTCTGGGACCCCATCCCCACCTCCCGGGCTGTGTGGGATCTCTGGGTGTCTCTGGGATCTCTGGGACCCCATCCCCACCTCCCGGGCTGTGTGGGATCTCTGGGTGGCTCTGGGTGTCCCTGGGATCCCTGGGGATCTCTAGGTGTCTCTGGGGATCTCTGGGATCTCTGGGGACCCCATCCCCGCCTGCTGGGCTGTGTGGGATCTCTGTGTGTCTCTGGGATCTTTGGGCTCTCTGGGATCCCTGGGGATCTCTGGGATCTCTGGGACCCCATCCCCGCCTGCTGCCTGTGTGGGCTCTCTGGGATCTCTGGGTGTCCCTGGGGATCCCTGGGATCTCTGGGACCCCATCCCCCCCCGCTGCCAGTGTGGGATCTCTGGGGCTCTCTGGGTGTCTCTGGGATCTCTGGAGCTCTCTGGGATCCCTGTGGATCTCTGGGGACCCCATCCCCGCCCGCCGCCCGCCTGCAGGATCGAGAGCTACTCGTGCAAGCTGGCCGGCATCGACAAGCAGCTCTTCAAGCAGTTCTGCCACGAGGGACAGCCCCACGCGCTCGAGGCCCTGTCCCCGCCCCAGAGCTCCGGCCTCAGCCCCGGCAGGTGGGGGGCTGGGACGGGGGGAAATGGGGGGCACTGGGGAATGGGGGGCACAGGGAAATGGTGGGGGGAAACACCAGGGAACTGGGGGGGAACACTGGGGAACTGGGGGGGAACACCAGTGACCTTGGCAGGCAATGGGAGGGTCTGCTCAGTGACACCAGTTCTGTCCCCAGTGACCCCAGTGACCTCAGTGACACCAGTTCTGTCCCCAGTGACCCCACTGACCCTGGTTCTGTCCCCAGTGAGCCCAGTGACATCAGTTCTGTCCCCAGTGACCTTGGCTGTGTCCCCAGTGACACCAGTGACCCCAGTTGTGTCCCCAGTGACACCAGTGACCCCAGTTGTGTCCCCAGTGACACCAGTGACCCCAGTTGTGTCCCCAGGCAGGGCGAGGGCCCGCTCAGCGACACCAGTGACACCAGTAACACCAGTTGTGTCCCCAGGCAGGGCGAGGGCCCGCTCAGCGACACCAGTGACACCAGTAACACCAGTTGTGTCCCCAGGCAGGGCGAGGGGCCGCTCAGCGACACCAGTGACACCAGTAACACCAGTTGTGTCCCCAGGCAGGGCGAGGGCCCGCTCAGCGACACCAGTGACCCCAGTTGTGTCCCCAGTGACCCCGGTTGTGTCGCCAGTGACACCAGTGACCCTGGTTGTGTCCCCAGTGTCCCCAGTGACACCAGTAACACCAGTTGTGTCCCCAGGCAGGGCGAGGGCCCGCTCAGTGACCCCAGTGACACCAGTGACACCAGTAACACCAGTTGTATCCCCAGGCAGGGCGAGGGCCCGCTCAGCAACACCAGCGACACCAGTGACACCAGTAACACCAGTTGTATCCCCAGGCAGGGCGAGGGCCCGCTCAGCGACACCAGTGACACCAGTGACCCCAGTTGTGTCCCCAGTGACCCCAGTGACACCAGTGACCCCAGTGACCCCGGTTGTGTCCCCAGTGACACCGGTGACACCAGTGACCCCAGTTGTGTCCCCAGTGACCCCAGTGACCCCAGTTGTGTCCCCAGGCAGGGCGAGGGCCCGCTCAGCGACACCAGTGACCCCAGTGACCCCAGTTGTGTCCCCAGTGACCCCAGTGACCCCAGTTGTGTCCCCAGTAACACCAGTGACCCCAGTTGTGTCCCCAGGCAGGGCGAGGGCCCGCTCAGTGACACCAGTGACACCAGTGACCCTGGTTGTGTCCCCAGTAACACCAGTAACACCAGTTGTGTCCCCAGGCAGGGCGAGGGCCCGCTCAGCGACACCAGTGACACCAGTTGTGTCCCCAGTGACACCAGTAACACCAGTAACACCAGTTGTGTCCCCAGGCAGGGCGAGGGCCCGCTCAGCGACACGTGCAGCCGCAAGACGCTGTTCTACCTGATCGCCACCCTGAACGAGGCCTTCCGGCCCGACTACGACTTCAGCGCCGCCAAGAGCCACGAGTTCAGCCGCGAGCCCAGCCTCAACTGGGTATGGGCACTGGGAGGGACTGGGATGGACTGGGATGGACTGGGAGGGACTGGGGTGGGACTGGGAGGGACTGGGATGGGACTGGGATGGGACAGGATGGGACTGGGATGGGACTGGGATGGACTGGGAGGGACTGGGATGGGACTGGGGGGGACTGGGATGGGACTGGGATGGGACTGGGAGGGACTGGGATGGGACTGGGATGGACTGGGATGGGACTGGGATGGGACTGGGATGGACTGGGAGGGACTGGGATGGGACTGGGATGGGACAGGATGGGACTGGGATGGACTGGGAGGGACTGGGAGGGACTGGGAGGGACTGGGACAGCCACGAGTTCAGCCGCGAGCCCAGCCTCAACTGGGTACAGGCACTGGGGGGGACTGGGATGGGACTGGGAGGGACTGGGATGGACTGGGATGGGACTGGGATGGACTGGGATGGGACTGGGAGGGACTGGGATGGGACTGGGACAGCCACGAGTTCAGCTGCGAGCCCAGCCTCAACTGGGTATGGGGACTGGGGGGACTGGGAGGGACTGGGAGGGACTGGGATGGGACTGGGATGGGACTGGGATGGGACTGGGATGGGACTGGGAGGGACTGGGATGGACTGGGAGGGACTGGGATGGGACTGGGAGGGACTGGGATGGGACTGGGATGGGACTGGGAGGGACTGGGAGGGACTGGGATGGGACTGGGATGGGACTGGGAGGGACTGGGATGGGACTGGGATGGGACTGGGATGGGACTGGGATGGACTGGGACAGCCACGAGTTCAGCCGCGAGCCCAGCCTCAACTGGGTACGGACTGGGGGGGACTGGGATGGACTGGGAGGGACTGGGATGGACTGGGATGGGATTGGGATGGGACTGGGATGGACTGGGATGGACTGGGATGGGACTGGGATGGACTGGGATGGACTGGGAGGGACTGGGATGGACTGGGAGGGACTGGGATGGGACTGGGAGGGACTGGGATGGGACTGGGATGGGACTGGGATGGACTGGGATGGACTGGGAGGGACTGGGATGGGACTGGGATGGGACTGGGATGGGACTGGGAGGGACTGGGATGGGACTGGGACAGCCACGAGTTCAGCCGCGAGCCCAGCCTCAACTGGGTACGGGCTGGGGGGACTGGGATGGACTGGGAGGGACTGGGATGGGACTGGGATGGGACTGGGAGGGACTGGGATGGGACTGGGATGGACTGGGAGGGACTGGGATGGGACTGGGATGGGACTGGGATGGGACTGGGATGGGACTGGGATGGGACTGGGACAGCCACGAGTTCAGCCGCGAGCCCAGCCTCAACTGGGTACGGGCTGGGGGGACTGGGATGGACTGGGAGGGACTGGGATGGGACTGGGATGGGACTGGGAGGGACTGGGATGGGACTGGGAGGGACTGGGATGGGACTGGGAGGGACTGGGATGGGACTGGGATGGGACTGGGATGGACTGGGATGGACTGGGAGGGACTGGGATGGACTGGGAGGGACTGGGATGGGACTGGGAGGGACTGGGATGGGACTGGGATGGCACTGGGATGGACTGGGAGGGACTGGGAGGGACTGGGATGGGACTGGGAGGGACTGGGATGGGACTGGGAGGGACTGGGATGGACTGGGATGGACTGGGATGGACTGGGATGGGACTGGGATGGGACTGGGATGGGACTGGGAGGGACTGGGATGGACTGGGACAGCCACGAGTTCAGCCGCGAGCCCAGCCTCAACTGGGTACGGGCACTGGGGGGACTGGGAGGGACTGGGATGGGACTGGGAGGGACTGGGAGGGACTGGGATGGACTGGGAGGGACTGGGAGGGACTGGGATGGGACTGGGAGGGACTGGGAGGGACTGGGAGGGACTGGGATGGGACTGGGAGGGACTGGGATGGGCTGGGATGGGACTGGGATGGGACAGGATGGGACTGGGAGGGACTGGGATGGGACTGGGAGGGACTGGGATGGGACTGGGAGGGACTGGGATGGACTGGGAGGGATTGGGATGGACTGGGGAGGGACTGGGATGGGATTGGGATGGACTGGGATGGACTGGGAGGGACTGGGATGGGACTGGGATGGACTGGGATGGAACTGGGATGGACTGGGATGGACTGGGATGGGACTGGGAGGGACTGGGATGGGACTGGGATGGACTGGGAGGGACTGGGAGGGACTGGGAGGGACTGGGATGGGACTGGGATGGGACTGGGATGGGACTGGGATGGACTGGGATGGGATTGGGAGGGACTGGGAGAGCCACGAGTTCAGCTGCGAGCCCAGCCTCAACTGGGTACGGACTGGGAGGGACTGGGATGGACTGGGATGGGACTGGGATGGGACTGGGAGGGACTGGGAGGGACTGGGATGGACTGGGAGGGACTGGGAGGGACTGGGATGGGACTGGGAGGGACTGGGATGGGACTGGGATGGGACTGGGATGGGCTGGGATGGACTGGGAGGGACTGGGATGGGACTGGGAGGGACTGGGATGGGACTGGGATGGGACTGGGAGGGACTGGGATGGGACTGGGAGGGACTGGGATGGGACTGGGAGGGACTGGGATGGGACTGGGATGGGACTGGGATGGGACTGGGATGGACTGGGATGGGACTGGGATGGGACTGGGATGGACTGGGATGGGACTGGGATGGGACTGGGGGAACTGGGAGGGACTGGGAGGGACTGGGAGGGACTGGGAGGGACTGGGAGGGACTGGGATGGACTGGGATGGACTGGGATGGGACTGGGATGGGACTGGGAGGGACTGGGAGGGACTGGGAGGGACTGGGATGGACTGGGATGGGACTGGGAGGGACTGGGAGGGACTGGGGGGACTGGGAGGGACTGGGATGGGACTGGGGGGGACTGGGATGGGACTGGGACGGACTGGGATGGGACAGGGATGGACTGGGATGGACTGGGATGGGACTGGGATGGGACTGGGAGGGACTGGGATGGGACTGGGAGGGACTGGGATGGACTGGGATGGGACTGGGATGGGACTGGGAGGGACTGGGATGGGACTGGGATGGACTGGGAGGGACTGGGATGGGACTGGGATGGGACTGGGATGGGACTGGGATGGGACTGGGAGGGACTGGGATGGGACTGGGACAGCCACGAGTTCAGCCGCGAGCCCAGCCTCAACTGGGTACGGGCTGGGGGGACTGGGATGGACTGGGAGGGACTGGGATGGGACTGGGATGGGACTGGGAGGGACTGGGATGGGACTGGGAGGGACTGGGATGGGACTGGGAGGGACTGGGATGGGACTGGGATGGGACTGGGATGGACTGGGATGGACTGGGAGGGACTGGGATGGACTGGGAGGGACTGGGATGGGACTGGGAGGGACTGGGATGGGACTGGGATGGCACTGGGATGGACTGGGAGGGACTGGGAGGGACTGGGATGGGACTGGGAGGGACTGGGATGGGACTGGGAGGGACTGGGATGGACTGGGATGGACTGGGATGGACTGGGATGGGACTGGGATGGGACTGGGATGGGACTGGGAGGGACTGGGATGGACTGGGACAGCCACGAGTTCAGCCGCGAGCCCAGCCTCAACTGGGTACGGGCACTGGGGGGACTGGGAGGGACTGGGATGGGACTGGGAGGGACTGGGAGGGACTGGGATGGACTGGGAGGGACTGGGAGGGACTGGGATGGGACTGGGAGGGACTGGGAGGGACTGGGAGGGACTGGGATGGGACTGGGAGGGACTGGGATGGGCTGGGATGGGACTGGGATGGGACAGGATGGGACTGGGAGGGACTGGGATGGGACTGGGAGGGACTGGGATGGGACTGGGAGGGACTGGGATGGGACTGGGAGGGATTGGGATGGACTGGGAGGGACTGGGATGGGACTGGGATGGACTGGGAGGGACTGGGATGGGACTGGGATGGACTGGGATGGACTGGGATGGACTGGGATGGACTGGGAGGGGACTGGGAGGGACTGGGATGGGACTGGGATGGACTGGGAGGGACTGGGAGGGACTGGGAGGGACTGGGATGGGACTGGGATGGGACTGGGATGGGACTGGGATGGACTGGGATGGGATTGGGAGGGACTGGGAGAGCCACGAGTTCAGCTGCGAGCCCAGCCTCAACTGGGTACGGACTGGGAGGGACTGGGATGGACTGGGATGGGACTGGGATGGGACTGGGAGGGACTGGGAGGGACTGGGATGGACTGGGAGGGACTGGGAGGGACTGGGATGGGACTGGGAGGGACTGGGATGGGACTGGGATGGGACTGGGATGGGCTGGGATGGACTGGGAGGGACTGGGATGGGACTGGGAGGGACTGGGATGGGACTGGGATGGGACTGGGAGGGACTGAGAATGGACTGGGAGGGACTGGGAATGGATTGGGAGAGACTGGGAGGGACTGGGATGGGACTGGGATGGGACTGGGATGGGACTGGGATATACTGGGAATGAACTGGGATGGGACTGGGATGGGACTGGGATGGACTGGGATGGGACTGGGATGGGACTGGGGGAACTGGGAGGGACTGGGAGGGACTGGGAGGGACTGGGAGGGACTGGGAGGGACTGGGATGGACTGGGATGGACTGGGATGGGACTGGGATGGGACTGGGAGGGACTGGGAGGGACTGGGAGGGACTGGGATGGACTGGGATGGGACTGGGAGGGACTGGGAGGGACTGGGGGGACTGGGAGGGACTGGGATGGGACTGGGGGGGACTGGGATGGGACTGGGACGGACTGGGATGGGACAGGGATGGACTGGGATGGACTGGGATGGGACTGGGATGGGACTGGGAGGGACTGGGATGGGACTGGGAGGGACTGGGATGGACTGGGATGGGACTGGGATGGGACTGGGAGGGACTGGGATGGACTGGGATGGGACAGGATGGGACTGGGATGGGACTGGGGTGGGGTGGGATGTAGGAATTGGGATTTACCTGGAGACAGGCCATGGAATAGGAAAATCCTGGAATTCTGGCGTGCTTTGGGATGGAAGGGATCTCTGGGATGATCCCGTTCCGAGGGGCAGCTCCCGCTATCCCGGGATGGAGCAGGAGCAGCCCCGGATCCTCTGGGAATTCCATCCCAAATTCCCAACATTCCATGGGAAGCCATTCCCTGTTTCCCATCCCTCCCACATCCCAAACCCCTCTGCAGCTCTCCCAGAAAAACCTGGAAAAGGCTCTGGAAGGGGCTCTGGACACTGCCAGGGCTGGGGAATCCCAAATTTCCCTGGGAATGCTATTTCCACCGGCCCCATTCCTGTGTCCCTGTCCACGATCCCTGTCCCACGTCCCGCTGTTCCCGTGTCTCTGTCCCCGTTCCGTGTCCCTGTCCCCGTTCCCGTGTCTCTGTCCCTGTCCCGTGTCTCTGTCCGTGTTCCTGTGTCCTCATTCCCGTGTCCCTGTCCTCGTTCTGTGTCCCTGTTCCCGATCCGTGTCCCATGTCCCAATCCCATGTTGCAGGTGGTGAATGCCGTGAACTGCAGCCTCTTCTCGGCTGTGCACGAGGATTTCACCCCCGTTCCTGTGTCCCTGTCCCCGCTCCCGTGTCCCCGTCCCTGTGTCCCTGTCCCCATCCCTGTGTCCCTGTCTGCATTCCTGTGTCCCTTTCCCCATTCCCGTGTCTCTGTCCCCGTTCTGTGTCCCCGTCCCTGTGTCCCTGTCCCCGTTCCCCTGTCCCTGTCCCTGTTCCGTGTCTCCATTCCCGTGTCCCTGTCCCCGTTCCCGTGTCCCTGTTCCTGATCCCTGTCCCACATCCCGCTGTCCCCGTGTCCCTGTCCCCGTTCCGTGTCCCTGTTCCTGTGTCCCTGTCCCCATTCCCGTGTCCCTGTTCCCGTGTTCCTGTGTACTTGTCCCCATTCCCATGTCCCTGTCCCCGCTCCATGTCCCACATCCCAATCCCGTGTTGCAGGTGGTGAATGCCGTGAACTGCAGCCTCTTCTCGGCGTGCGCGAGGATTTTCACCCCCGTTCCCGTGTCCCTGTCCCCGTTCCATGTCACTGTCCCTGTTCCATGTCCCACATCCCGCTGTTCCCATGTCCCAATCCCGTGTCCCATGTCCCAATCCCGTGTTGCAGGTGGTGAATGCTGTGAACTGCAGCCTCTTCTCGGCCGTGCGTGAGGATTTCAAGGCGCTGAAGCCGCTGCTGTGGGACGCGGTGGATGAGGAGATCTGCCTGGCCGAGTGTGACATCTACAGGTACCTGCCCCATCCCCGGGGGTCCCAGCCCTTCCTGAGGGATCCCGGCCCTGCCTGATCCTGAGGGATCCCACCCCTTCCCGAGGGATCCCGGCCCTGCCCCATCCCAGGGGATCCCGTCCCGGCCCTGCCCGAGGGATTCCAGCCCTGTCCCCAATCCCGTGACATTCCCGCTGTTCCCGTCCCCAATCCCGTGACATTCCCACTGTTCCCATCCCCAATCCCGTGACATTCCCGCTGTTCCCGTTCCCAATCCCGTGACATTCCCGCTGTTCCCATCCCCAATCCCGTGACATTCCCGCTGTTCCCATCCCCAATCCCGTGTCATTCCCGCTGTTCCCATCCCCAATCCCGTGACATTCCCGTTGTTCCCATCCCCAATCCCGTGACATTCCCGCTGTTCCCATCCCCAATCCCGTGACATTCCCGCTGTCCCCAATCCCGTGACATTCCCGCCATTCCCATCCCCAATCCCGTGACATTCCCGCTGTTCCTGTCCCCAATCCCGTGTCATTCCCGCTGTTCCCAATCCCGTGACATTCCCGCCGTTCCCGTTCCCAGCTACAACCCGGACCTGGACTCGGATCCCTTCGGGGAGGACGGGAGCCTCTGGTCCTTCAATTACTTCTTCTACAACAAGAGGCTCAAGAGGATCGTCTTCTTCACCTGCCGCTCCATCAGGTGAAGGGCATTCCCTGGAATTCCAGGGGCCATTCCCAAGGGGGGATTCCCTGGAATTCCAGGGTGGGGGACTGTTCCCGAGGGCATTCCCTGGAATTCCAGGGTGGGGGGCTGTTCCCGAGGGGATTCCCTGGAATTCCAGGGTGGGGGGATGTTCCCATGGGGATTCCCTGGAATTCCAGGGGCCATTCCCAAGGGGGGCATTCCCTGGAATTCCAGGGTGGGGAGTTATTCCCGAGGGGATTCCCTGGAATTCCAGGGTGGGGGGCTGTTCCCAAGGAGGGGATTCCCTGGAATTCCAGGGTGGGGGTTGTTCCCAAGGGGATTCCCTGGAATTCCAGGGTGGGGGGTTGTTCCCAAGGGGGGCATTCCCTGGAATTCCAGGGTGGGGGGCTGTTCCTGAGGGGATTCCCTGGAATTCCATGGGAGAGGGGCTGTTCCCGAGGGGATTCCCTGGAATTTCAGGGGCCATTCCCAAGGGGGGCATTCCCTGGAATTTCAGGGTGGGGGGATGTTCCTGAGGGGTTTCCCTGGAATTCCAGGGGCCATTCCCAAGGGCATTCATTGGAATTCCAGGGGCCATTCCCAAGGGCATTCATTGGAATTCCAGGGTGGGGGGCTGTTCCCATGGGGATTCCCAGAAATTCCAGGGGCCATCCCCAAGGGGGGAATTTCCTGGAATTCCGGGGGGGGGGATGTTCCCGAGGGCATTCCCTGGAATTCCAGGGTGGGGGGCTGTTCCTGAGGGGATTCCCTGGAATTCCAGGGTGGGGGGCTGTTCCCATGGGGATTCCCAGAAATTCCAGGGGCCATTCCCAAGGGCATTCATTGGAATTCCAGGGGCCATTCCCAAGGGGGGCATTCCCTGGAATTCCAGAGTGGGGGGCTGTTCCCGAGGGGATTCCCTGGAATTCCAGGGTGGGGGGCTGTTCCCGAGGGGATTCCCTGGAATTCCAGGGTGGGGGGCTGTTCCCGAGGGGATTCCCTGGAATTCCAGGGTGGGGGGCTGTTCCCGACGGGATTCCCTGGAATTCCAGGAGCCATTCCCAAGGGGGGCATTCCCTGGAATTCCAGGGTGGGGGGCTGTTCCCAAGGAGGGGATTCCCTGGAATTCCAGGGTGGGGGGCTGTTCCCGAGGGGATTCCCTGGAATTCCGTCCCTTCCCGCAGTGGCTACGCCTACACCCGGCCGGACACCGGGACCGAGCTGGACATGGAGCTGGGCGAGGGCGACGCCGGGAAGGGCGACAGCGGCGACCCCGAGGGCGGCGAGGGCGGCGCCATCGAGGAGGACAGGTGGGCGGGCGGGCGGGGCGGGGCCGCAGGTGAGGCAGGTGAGGCAGGTGACCCTCCCTGACCTGTCCTCCTTCCAGGCTGCAGGTGATGTGCATGTGAGATTCCCGGCGGGATCCGAGACACCGGGAACGGAACCGGCAACGGAACCGGCAACGGGACTGGAAATGGACTGGGAACCGAACCAGCACCAGGACTGGGAACCGAACCAGCACCGGGACTGGGAACCGAACCAGCACCAGGACTGGAACCAGCACCAGGAATGTGACTGGGAATGGAACCAGGACTGGGAACCGAACCAGCACCAGGACTGGGAACCGAACCAGCACTGGGAATGGGACTGGGAATGGAACCAGGACTGGGAACCGAACCAGCACCGGGACTGGGAACCGAACCAGCACCGGGAACGGGACTGGGAACCGAACCAGCACCGGGACTGGGAACGGAACCAGCACCGGGACTGGGAGCCGAACCAGCACCGGGAACGGGAACCGAACCAGCACCGGGAACGGGACTGGGAATGGACTGGGAACCAAACCAGCACCAGGAACGGGACTGGGAACGGAACCAGCACCGGGACTAGAAACGGAACCAGCACTGGGAATGGGACTGGGAACCAAACCAGCACCGGGACTGGGAGCCGAACCAGCACCGGGACTGGGAACGGAGCCAGCACCAGGAACGGGACTGGGAGTGGAACCAGGACCGGGAACCGAACCAGCACCGGGACTGGGAATGGAACCAGCACCGGGACTGGGAACGGAACCAGCACCAGGAACGGGACTGGGAGTGGAACCAGGACTGGGAACCGAACCAGCACCGGGACTGGGAATGGAACCAGGAATAGAACCAGAACTGGGAACGGAACCAGGAACAGAACCAGAACTGGGAACGGAACCAGGAACAGAACTGGCACCAGGAAAGGAACCAGGAACGGAGCCAGGACTGGCAACCAAACCAGCAATGGAACCGGGAAAGAACCCGGCCCTGTCCCAGAGCCGCTGGTCCTTCCTGAGCCGTGTCCCACCCTGGTGTCACGGCGTCCCCGTGTCCCCCCGGACACCGGAGCCCCCCAGGAATCCCGGAGCTCCGGAGCCGCTGCCGGAGCCGCGCCGGGAGCTCCGGAAGCTTCGCTGCACTTTATGGCTCCTGCCTTCGGCTGCACTGATCCCCGTCCCGCCTGCCCGGGCTCCTGAGGGGCTCCGTCCGTCCATCCCGGCCCTGCCCGGGGGAAAACCCCAAATCCCCCGCCCAGGAACTGCCCCCCTGCCCCCCATCCCGAGTCCGTGTGTTTCAAGAGTTTGGCTTTGCTCTCCGTCTGCTGCGGCTCTGCTTTTCCTGCTGGGATCTCACCTGGGCCAGGTGAGCCCTGGGCCTGAGGCTGGGGGAGCCACCTGTGCCTCCCTTGGGATCTGGGATCTGGATCAGGGGGTCCCACCTGTGCCTCCCTTGGGATCTGGGATCTGGATCAGGGGGTCCCACCTGTGCCTCCCTTGGGATCTGGATCAGGGGGTCCCACCTGTGCCTCCCTTGGGATCTGGGTCAGGGGGTCCCACCAGTGCCTCCCTTGGGATCTGGGATCTGGATCAGAGGGTCCCACCTGCGCCTCCCTTGGGATCTGGATCAGGGGTCCCACCTGTGCCTCCCTTGGGATCTGGATCAGGGGGTCCCACCTGTGCCTCCCTTGGGATCTGGGATCTGGGATCTGGATCAGGGGGTCCCACCTGTGCCTCCCTTGGGATCTGGATCAGGGGGTCCCACCTGTGCCTCCCTTGGGATCTGGGATCTGGGATCTGGATCAGGGGGTCCCACCTGTGCCTCCCTTGGGATCTGGATCAGGGGGTCCCACCTGTGCCTCCCTTGGGATCTGGGATCTGGATCAGGGGGTCCCACCTGTGCCTCCCTTGGGATCTGGATCAGGGGGTCCCACCTGTGCCTCCCTTGGGATCTGGGATCTGGGTCAGGGGGTCCCACCTGTGCCTCCCTTGGGATCTGGATCAGGGGGTCCCACCTGTGCCTCCCTTGGGATCTGGGATCTGGGATCTGGATCAGGGGTCCCACCTGTGCCTCCCTTGGGATCTGGGATCTGGATCAGGGGGTCCCACCTGTGCCTCCCTTGGGATCTGGGATCTGGGTCAGGGGGTCCCACCTGTGCCTCCCTTGGGATCTGGGATCTGGATCAGGGGGTCCCACCTGTGCCTCCCTTGGGATCTGGGATCTGGATCGGGGGGTCCCACCTGCGCCTCCCTTGGGATCTGGGATCTGGATCAGGGGGTCCCACCTGTGCCTCCCTTGGGATCTGGATCAGGGGGTCCCACCTGTGCCTCCCTTGGGATCTGGATCAGGGGGTCCCACCTGTGCCTCCCTTGGGATCTGGGATCTGGGATCTGGATCAGGGGTCCCACCTGCGCCTCCCTTGGGATCTGGGATCTGGATCAGGGGTCCCACCTGTGCCTCCCTTGGGATCTGGGATCTGGGATCTGGGGGTCCCACCTGCGCCTCCCTTGGGATCTGGGATCTGGGGGTCCCACCTGTGCCTCCCTTGGGATCTGGGATCTGGATCAGGGGGTCCCACCTGTGCCTCCCTTGGGATCTGGATCTGGGGGTCCCACCTGTGCCTCCCTTGGGATCTGGGATCTGGATCAGGGGGTCCCACCTGTGCCTCCCTTGGGATCTGGATCAGGAAAAATCTGGGGTTGGAATTCCACCCCCAGTAAAGGATTCCTGGGATTTGCCCCCAAATCCGGGGGGATCCCTCTGGGATGTCGCCGTTCCCACAGGGGTTGGGACTCCCAACCCGACTTTATCCATTGGAAAATCTCTTTATTTATTGGGAAAATCCCTTTATGCTTTGGAAAATCCTTTTATCCATTAGAATATCCCTTTATTCGTTGGAAAAGTCCCTTTATCCATTGGAATGTCCTTTTATTTATGGGAAATATTTCTTTATCCATGGAAATATCCCTTTATCCATTGGAATATTCCTTTATCAATGGGAAAAATCCATTTATCCATGGGAATGTCCCTTTATTTGTGGGGAATATCCCTTTATCCATGGGAAAAATCCCTTTATCCATGGGAATATTCCTTTATCCATTGGAAAAATCCCTTTATTGATTAGAATATTCCTTTATTTATGGTGAAAATTCCTTTATCCATTTTAATATCCCTTTATCCATGGGAATATTCCTTTATCCATGGGAATATCCCTTTATCCATGGCAAAAATCTCTTTATCCATGACAAAATCAATTTTTCCATTAGAATATCCCTTTTCCATGGGAAAAATCCATTTATCCATTGGAATATTCATTTATCATGGGAAAAATCCCTATATCCATGGGAATATTCCTTTATCCATGGGAATATCCCTTTTCCATGGGAAAAATCCATTTATCCATGGGAATGTCCCTTTATTTATGGGGAAAATTCCTTTATCCATTGGAATATTCCATTATCCATTGGAAAAATCCCTTTATCCATGGGAATATTCCTTTATTTATGGGGAAAATTCCTTTGTCCATTGTAATATCCCTTTATCCATGAGAATATCCCTTTATCCATTGGAAAATCCCTTTATTTATGGGGAAAATCCCTTTATCCATGGGAATATTCCTTTATCCATGGGAAAAATCCCTTTATTTATGGGGGAAATTCCTTTATCCATGGGAAAAATCCCTTTATCCATGAGAATATCCCTTTATCCATGGGAATATCCCTTTATCCATTGGAAAATCCCTTTATTTATGGGGAAAATTCCTTTATCCATGGGAAAAATCCCTTTATCCTCTGCTTTCACACCAATTTCCCCTCTTTCCCTCGCCGTGTTTTCCGTCCCCATGGAATTCCGGGAGGGTTTGGTGTCCCACAGCTGTCCCAACCCGGCTGGGGACAATTCCCGGCGGGGTCAGTCGGGGGATTTGGGGTGGACAACGGGAAAGGGACAACGGGAAAGAGGAAAGGAGCACCAGGAACATCCAGCGCTGTCGTTGGACATTTGGTGTTTGCCTGGTTTGGAGTCACCCAAAGCTTTGGTGGCATTGAGGGTTTGGTGTCCCCAAGGGTTTGGTGGCACTGGGGGTTTGGTGTCCCAAAGGGTTTGGTGGAACTGGGGGTTTGGTGTCCCCAAGGGTTTGGTGTCCCCAAGGGTTTGGTGGCATTGAGGGTTTGGTGTCCCCAAGGGTTTGGTGGCACTGGGGGTTTGGTGTCCCCAAGGGTTTGGTGGCATTGAGGGTTTGGTGTCCCCAAGGGTTTGGTGTCCCCAAGGGTTTGGTGTCCCCAAGGGTTTGGTGTCCTCATGGGTTTGGTGTCCCCATGGGTTTGGTGTCCCCAAGGGTTTGGTGTCCTCATGGGTTTGGTGTCCCCATGGGTTTGGTGTCCCCAAGGGTTTGGTGGCATTGAGGGTTTGGTGTCCCCAAGGGTTTGGTGTCCCCAAGGGTTTGGTGGCATTGAGGGTTTGGTGTCCCCAAGGGTTTGGTGTCCCCAAGGGTTTGGTGTCACCCAAAGGTTTGGTGTCCCCAAGGGTTTGGTGTCCCCAAGGGTTTGGTGTCACCCAAAGGTTTGGTGTCCCCAAGGGTTTGGTGTCCCCATGGGTTTGGTGTCACCCAAAGCTTTGGTGTCCCCAAGGGTTTGGTGTCCCCAAGGGTTTGATGTCCCCATGGGTTTGGTGGCATTGTCCCCAAGGGTTTAGTGTCCCCAAAACTTGGTGTCACCCAGAAATTTGGACTTGCTTTAAGGGATTTAAACCGAGTTTAAGAAACGCAGGCATGGTTTGGAGGAGTTAGACCTGAGTGAAGGCGTTTAGAGCTGGGATATCATCTGCTGGCGTGGACTTCAGCCTGGTTTGGGAATTTGGGGCTGATTTAAGGGATTTAGGCCTGGTTCTGGGAATTTGGGCCTGATTTAAGAGGTTTGAAGATGACTTCCAGGATTTAGGCCGGGTTTAAGAGATTCAGAGAGGCCCCGGGGCCGGTTTTGTGGTTCGGGCCGCTCCTTTCCGTACAGCCGCCCTTCCCACAATGCCTGTCTGCCACGGCCCCTCCCCTTCCGGCATTCTAGCCGCACCCCATTGGTTTAGATCTTTACCGCCCCACGCTTCGCGGCGCCAATTGGCTGCTCGGCCTGTCAATCACGGCGGTTGCCAGGCGACGCCGACATTTTTGTGTCCCGACCATGGCGGCGCAGGAGGAGAAGACAGAACCAGCGCTGAAATCGGTGCCGGTGGCGGCGGATGCCACGGGAGCGCACACGGCCTCGGCGGCACCGGCCCGGTGCGCGTTTCGTGGCCTGACCGGTTCCGTGACCTCACTGGCGCCGCGCGTGGGAGCCCGTACGGCGCTTTTCCGTACAACCCTCCCTTCCCGGCAGCGTACCCGCAGCCCATTGGCTAACCTTCCCCACCTCCCAGTTTCCGCGGCGCTGATTGGCTGTCACACCCTCCCGTCTCGCCGTTGCTAAGCAACGCGGCCATGGCGGCGGATGCGAAGGAGGCCGCGGCGATGGAGGAGGCCGACAGCGATGATGCCGCGGCGTCCGCGGCGCTGTCGGAGCTGACGGCGCTGCTCTCCCCGTCCTCCCCCGCCGCTCCCGGAGCAGCCGAGGCCGCCCTGGCGCTGTCGGGCAGCGCGTCGGGCCGGGCGCTGCTGGCGGGACACCCCGCGGCCTTAGCGGCCTTGTGCGGCCTTGCCGCCTCGGCCTCGCGTGGATCGCAGCCCGCCTTGGCCGCGCTGGTGAACGCGTCCTCGGAGCCCGCCGCGCTGGAGCCGCTGCTCCCCGCCGTTCCTTCGCTCGCCGAGCTGCTGCCCAGCTCCGGGGCGGCCTGCGGGGTGCTGGCCAACCTCAGCCGGGACGAGGCGGCGGCGCCGCGGGTGCTGCGGGCGTTGGGCCCCGGCGCGGGGCCGCTGCTGCGGGCGCTGAGCGCGGAGCGGCCGCCGGAGGAGCTCGGGGCGCTGCTCTGCAACATCAGCCGGGTGCGAGAGGGACGGGCAGCGCTGCTGGAGCCCTCGGGGTGAGATTTTGGGGGGATTTATGGGGTTTTTGGGGTGTTTTATGGGGTTTGGGGGCGCTGCTCTGCAACATCAGCCGGGCCCCGGAGGGACGGGCAGCGCTGCTGGAGCCGTCGGGGTGAGATAAATGGGATTTTGGGGTGTTTTATGGGGATTTTGGGGTGACTTATGGGGATTTTGGGGTGATTTATTGGGATTTTGGGGTGTTTTATGGGGTTTTTGGGGTGTTTTATGGGGTTTGGGGGCGCTGCTCTGCAGCCTCAGCCGGGCCCCGGAGGGACGGGCCGCGCTGCTGGAGCCATCAGGGTGAGATAAACGGGGATTTTGGGGGGATTTATTGGGAATATAATATAATATAATATAATGTAATGTAATGTAGTGTAATGTAATGTAATGTAATATGTAATGTAATGTAATGTAATGTAATATGTAATATATATAATATAATGTAATATGTAATATATATAATATAATGTAATATAATATGATATAACATGATATAATTTAATATATAATATAAGACAATATAATATAACATAATATATAATATAATATGTAATATAATGTAATATGATATAGAGTCACATAAAAAATATAATTAATATAATATAATGTAACATAATATATAAAATAATATAATATAATGTAGTATAATACAGTATAATATAGTATAATACGAAATATAATATAATGTAATATAATATAATGTAATATAATATAATATAATATAATATAATATAATATAATGTAATATAATGTAATATAATACAATACAATATATAATATAATACAATATAATGTAATACAATACAATATATAATACAATATAATATAAAATAATAATATAATATAATGTAATGTAATGTAATATAATATAATATAATATAATATAATATAATGTAATGTAATGTAATGTAATGTAATGTAATGTAATTTAATATAATGTAATGTAATACAATACAATATATAATATAATGTAATACAATACAATATATAATATAATATAATATGTAATGTAACGTAATACGATATAACGTAACACAATATAAAATAATGTAACATAATATTGGTAATTTTATGATTTTTTGGAGGATTTTTTGGTGATTTTTTGGGGGTGTTTTTTTGGTGGATTGTTAAGAATTTTGGGGTAATTTTGGGTGTTTTTGGCTGTTCCAGGCGGGCGCTGCGGCGGCTCCTGGCCCTGGTTGGGAGCCCGAACTCGGCGTCGCTGCGCAGAGGAGCCGTGGGAGCGCTCAGGAACTGCTGCTTCCAGCACGGTAAAAATCCAAAATTCCGGGCCTTTGCCTCAAATTTTTATGGAATTTTTAATAGGAATTTTTGGGGAATTTTTTTTGTTTGGCTTTGGGATTTTTCCCGAAATTTTTGGGGAATTTTTTGTGAATATTTTGTGCTTTTTTGGTGATTATTTTATGATTTTTCTGAATATTTTGTGATCTTTTGGGGGGATTTTTTTGAGACTATTTAGAGAATTTTTGGGGTTGTGGTTTTTGTTGGTTTGTTTGGGGATTTTTTGGGGTTTTTTGGGAATATTTTGGGATTTTTGAGGGATTTTTTGAGAATTTTTTGGGTTTGTGGTTAAAAATCCTGGAATTTTGTGGAATCCTGTTAAAAATTCTGGAATTCCATGGAATCACAACTAAAATCCCGGGATTTCATGGAATCCTGTTAAAAATCCTGGAATTCCAGAGAATCCTATTCAAAATTCCTTGGAATCCCGACTAAAATCCTGGAATTCCAGAGAATCCTATTAAAAATCCTGAAATTTCATGGAATCCCAACTAAAATCCTGGAAATCTGTGGAATTCTGAATAAAATCCTGGAATTCCATTGAAATGCAAGCTAAAATCCAGGAATTTTTTGGAATCCTGACTAAAATAATGGAATTTCATTGAAATCCCATCTAAAATCCAGGAATTCTTGGAATCCTGTTAAAAATACAGGAATTTCTTGGAATCCCAATTGAAATCCTGGAATTTCATTAAAATCCCAGGTAAAAACCTGGAATTCCAGGCTGGAATCCCAACTGAAATCCTGGAATTTCATTAAAATCCCAGCTAAAGTCCTGGAATTTCAGGCTGAAATCCCATCTAAAATGCTGGAATTTCTTGGAATCCTACTAAAACTCCTGGAATTGCAGAGAATCCTATTAAAAACCCTGGAATTCCTTGGAATCCCAACTGAAATCCTGGAATTTCATTGAAATCCCAGCTAAAATCCTGGAATTGCAGAGAATCCTACTAAAAATCCTGGAATTCCATGCTGGAATCCTGACTAAAATTCTGGAATTCCATTGAAATCCCATCTACCTGGAATTCCTTGGAATCCCAACTAAAATCCTGGAATTCCATTGAAATCCCAACTAAAATCTGAAATTCCGTGGAATCCTCTTAAAAATCCTGGAATTCCGTGGAATCCTGACTAAAATCCTGGAATTCCATGGAATCCCAACTAAAATCCCGTAATTCGTTGGAGTCCCAACTTAAATCCTGGAATTCCGTGGAATCCTCTTAAAAATCCTGGAATTCCGTGGGGTCCTGGATGGTAGAAGAAGGAACGGCCTCGTGTTGGGAATTTTTGGGAATATTCCCTTGGAATTTATGGAATTCCGGGCTGGAATTCCAAACATTCCCAAAATTCCGGGTGGGCGGAGCCAGGGGGAGAAAAGCAGAAATGGGGGGGGAAAAGCCCCAAATTTTGGGGGGAAATCCGCCTGGATCCCGTTCCTGCTCCACTTCCCGGTTTGTGGGCGGGGTTGGGAACGTCGGGACGAGATTCCCGGAGAATTCCCGCGGAATTCCCAGAGAATTCCCGTGGAATTCCCAGAGAACCACGAGCGGCTGCTGAGCCCCGAGCTGGACGCGCTGCCGCTGCTGCTGCTGCCGCTGGCCGGCCCCGAGGAGCTCCCCGAGGAGGAGATGGAGCGTGAGTGGCTTTTCCAGGGGGTTTTTTTGGGAATTTTCGGGAATTCCCTGAATATTCCCGGCGTTTTTTTCCCGTTCCAGAACTTCCCGTGGATCTGCAGTACCTCCCCCCGGAGCACCGGCGCGAAGAGGAGCCCGAGATCCGCAAGATGCTGCTGGAGACGCTGATGCTGGTGGGGCCTTTTGGGGTTCCTGCAGGAATTTGGGGGGGTTCCTTGAGGAATTTTGGGGTTTTTGGGAGTTCCTTGAGGAATTTCTGAGGTTTGGCGAGGAATTTGGGGGGTTCCGTGAGGAATTTAGGGGGTGCCATGAGGATTTTTGGGCTTTCTTGAGGATTTTTGGGCTTTCTTGAGGATTTTTGGGCTTTCTTGAGGATTTTTGGGAGTTCTTGAGGAATTCTTTGGGTTACATGAGGAATTTTGGGGGTTCTATGAGGAATTTTGGGGTTCCATGAGCAATTTTGGGGGTCCTTGAAGAATTTCTGGGGTTTGATGAGGAATTTTGGAGTTCTTAGAAGGATTTTGGGGGTTCCTTGAGGAATTTTGGGGGTTCCTGAGGATTATTCAGGGGTTCCTTTAGGAATTTTGGGGGATCCCTGAGGATTTTTGGGTTTCCTCGCTGACATTTCAAACTTCTCGGTGTTCCCCCAACAATTCCGATCTTTCGACCCCAAATTTCGCCGCCAAACCCAGATTTTTTTGGGTTCTTTGCGGCATTTTGGCTTCCAACAAGCGCGGGGATCCCAAAGAATTCCCGAATTTTCTCTTGGAGCAGCTGGCGGCCACCAAGGCGGGGCGGCAGCAGCTGCGGCGCCGCGGTTCCTACCTGGTTCTGCGGGAGCTGCACGGCTGGGAGCGGCACCCCGAGGTGCTCGGCGCCTGCCAGAAGCTGATCCAGGTGAGACGCGGTTCCGGTGCTGCCGGGGCTGTGCCGGGGCTGTCGGGGTGGTTCCGGAACGTTCCCGGCGCGGTTCCAGCGTGACCAGTGTGGTTCTGGAACGTTCCCGGTGCGGTTCCGGAATGTTCCCGGCGCAGTTC